ATAGAGGTCGTGTGTGTGTGTAAAGGGGTAGACTAGGAGAGAAAGAGGAAGAGGTGAAGAGAGGAAGGTGAAAGGAAGATTGGGAATAAATGAAGGAAGTAGAAAGTCAGGAGGATAATGGTGAGAGAGAGAAACTTAGAACCAGTAAATAGAGATAGAGGTCGTGTGTGTGTGTAAAGGGGTAGACTAGGAGAGAAAGAGGAAGAGGTGAAGAGAGGAAGGTTAAAGGAAGATAGAGAATACATGAAGGAAGTAGGAAACCAGGAGGATAATAGTGATAGTGGTGAGAGAGAAACTTAGAACCAGTAAATAAAGATAGAGGTCGTGTGTGTGTGTAAAGGGGTAGACTAGGAGAGAAAGAGGAAGAGGTGAAGAGAGGAAGGTTAAAGGAAGATAGAGAATACATGAAGGAAGTAGGAAACCAGGAGGATAATAGTGATAGTGGTGAGAGAGAAACTTAGAACCAGTAAATAAAGATAGAGGTCGTGTGTGTGTGTAAAGGGGTAGACTAGGAGAGAAAGAGGAAGAGGTGAAGAGAGGAAGGTTAAAGGAAGATAGAGAATACATGAAGGAAGTAGGAAACCAGGAGGATAATAGTGATAGTGGTGAGAGAGAAACTTAGAACCAGTAAATAAAGATAGAGGTCGTGTGTGTGTGTAAAGGGGTAGACTAGGAGAGAAAGAGGAAGAGGTGAAGAGAGGAAGGTGAAAGGAAGATGAGGAATAAATGAAGGAAGTAGGAAGCCAGGAGGATAATGGTGAGAGAGAAACTTAGAACCAGTAAATAAAGATAGAGGTCGTGTGTGTGTGTAAAGGGGTAGACTAGGAGAGAAAGAGGAAGAGGTGAAGAGAGGAAGGTGAAAGGAAGATGAGGAATAAATGAAGGAAGTAGGAAACCAGGAGGATAATAGTGATAGTGGTGAGAGAGAAACTTAGAACCAGTAAATAAAGATAGAGGTCGTGTGTGTGTGTAAAGGGGTAGACTAGGAGAGAAAGAGGAAGAGGTGAAGAGAGGAAGGTGAAAGGAAGATGAGGAATAAATGAAGGAAGTAGGAAGCCAGGAGGATAATGGTGATAGTGGTGAGAGAGAAACTTAGAACCAGTAAATAAAGATAGAGGTCGTGTGTGTGTGTAAAGGGGTAGACTAGGAGAGAAAGAGGAAGAGGTGAAGAGAGGAAGGTGAAAGGAAGATGAGGAATAAATGAAGGAAGTAGGAAGCCAGGAGGATAATGGTGATAGTGGTGAGAGAGAAACTTAGAACCAGTAAATAAAGATAGAGGTCGTGTGTGTGTGTAAAGGGGTAGACTAGGAAAGAAAGAGGAAGAGGTGAAGAGAGGAAGGTTAAAGGAAGATAGAGAATACATGAAGGAAGTAGGAAACCAGGAGGATAATAGTGATAGTGGTGAGAGAGAAACTTAGAACCAGTAAATAAAGATAGAGGTCGTGTGTGTGTGTAAAGGGGTAGACTAGGAAAGAAAGAGGAAGAGGTGAAGAGAGGAAGGTGAAAGGAAGATGGAGAATAAATGGAGGAAGTAGAAAGTCAGGAGGATAATGGTGAGAGAGAAACTTAGAACCAGTAAATAGAGATAGAGGTCGTTCTTCTCGTAAATATGTTTGTGTAGTCGAAAGTACGAAAGTATGCTTCCTTCTGCTTCCATGTTTGCGACAGAACGCTGGCAATGTGTGGACTGCGCGTTTCATGTCCCGTGTCCTGTAACCATTGGTGGTGAGAGTAGGGCGTTTGAGTTTCAGATAATACATTTGTGGAAACTGGTGGTTCAGGCTTTTGCAACACCAGGTGGTGATACTTTAGATAGTATTTCCTAGAATTTTTTATTACGTGATATTGTGTATACCATTGTGTTTTTGTTTCATTTTCATTTTCATTTTATTATTATTATTATTATTAATATTATTATTGTTAATTATTATTGTTATTATTTTATTTATTTATTTATTTTATATTTATTATACTTTTTATCTTTTTCATTTTATTATTATTTTTGTTAATTATTATCATTATTTTATTTATTTATTATCTCTTTCTCTCTCTCTCTCTCTCTCTCTTTTTACATACATTTTAATGTCACATCAATGTTGTCATAGATATTTTCAATGTTGTTATTGTTGTTATATGTCTTTATTCTTTTTTCTGTTTTATATATTTTTTTTATTAAGTTATTGTGAATGAGTTGATATGATCTTAGGGAATAAGAAAGAAGTTTAGGAATGAATGAGATGGAAAAGAAAAAAAAAAAAAAAATGTTGCTTTATTGTTGCGGTTGCTAATGTTTCAACTTATTTTTTATTGTTTAATTTTGTAGATTGTCTTTTTTAATATTAAGAGCCTTTCCTTTTTTTTGCATGGTGATTTGTTTGTGCATCACACATGTCTGCTGAATGGAATGCTGTTTAGTTGTTTGTGCATTAGTGAGTTTAAGTAAATGCATGAATGATATTAAATAATGGTTATAACTCTTTCAAGGTTAATCTTGTTGTTTTTGGATTTCAACAGTGTATGAAGTATTGCATACAATTACTAATGTTTTTGGTTTGATTTTTGTGTGCACTCCCAGAAGACTAATCCTTATAAGATTTTGCATGCGAGGCACAATTGCAGTGCGAGTTGTTGATTCATATTCACTGTGATCCTTTTTTTTTTTTTTTTTTTTTTTTTTTTTTTTTTTTTTTTTTTTTTTTTTTTTATGATGATGTGTTTGCTTCATCATCTAGTGCTCACGGTTGGCTGTAAAGAATTGGTTAAAGCTGAGAGTTCGTTTCATTCCATAGGCTGAAAGAGATGAAAAGAGAAGTGAAATGTAATAGAAAATGAGTGGGAAAGTTCGAAAATTGGGGATGATAACCTTGTCAGTCAGGAAGATTCTTGATCTTTTAAAAGGTTAAAAGTATCATTAAGGCTATTCATTCCCGGTGAGTTATTATAGACTTCATTAAGAGCAGTGGTTTAGTACTTGTAATTTGTAAGAGGAGAGAACACAGTAAAGTTTAAGCAAAGTTACAGATAGTCCACAGCTGAGTTTGATCCTGCAGGCAGGGTTCTACACACTTCACTTTCATGGGTGGAGAAAATGACACCTTAAGTAGTGTCGATTCATGGTATTCATCTGTCCTGTATTTATTGTGAAGTGAAGTACATAGTGATTGAGTCGGACTGTGTTACAGATTTGTTTCCAAATTTATAAATGTAAAACAAAGAAAATGTCACTTTTTAGATCTTTTCATTTTATATTATGTCTTTATAATTATTCTCTATGGTATTTTATTTATATATTGTGAAAATAAATATTCCCTAAAAATAAAGGAAATCACATTTCTCCTGAAATCAAGCATCTGGAAGTTCATTCTTATTTCTTATGAATAGAAATAGATTAGTCCACACTACAAAATGTATGATTAATGCTTTTACATATAGTGACTTCATTAGAGTTGCATAATTCTGATGACAGTGAAATATTGAAATGTTATTATATATCAGGGAATATGGAATTATTCAGTCCCATTCATTTCTCTTCTGTACTTGTCACAATGAATGCTTTGTTTGAATCCATGCCTCCCTTGATCCTTTTATTCTGAAAGTGATCATGAATTACCATATTACTTCTTGGTGAATGTTCAGTGAATGTAACCTTTTCATGGCGAGACAGAAGCCTAGCCTTTGTTTCTGAATTTTAGGGATAATTGTTTTTGGTCCCCCCCCCCCCCCAAGGTATTTTTGAGTTGGTTATACAGAATTGGCTTGTGATGAACTGGTCTTGCTGAAATGTCTCAAATTGGACACATTGAAATGTCTTGAGTTGGCCACACAGTTTTGCATGGCTTTTAAAGAAATGTATTATGATTTATCTTTTAGAGATCATTTTTGGTAGACTGGATAGTAAATCAGTGAAGAGACGAGTTCTAAGGGGTTTTTGTTGTATCACTTCATACAGTGTTAAGTCTGTCTCTGTAAAGGTATTAAGGACTGAAACACATTTGGCTTTGATTGAGTAGTTCCACAAGATTGCTCATAAACTTGCGTTTACATACCAATTTGAGATTGGCTGTTTTGAGATTATCAGAATTATTGACATTGTTGTTGGTAGAGAAAGGAGAGCTTGTTCATATTGAAGAAGATTTGATTTTGAAATGTCTGTTGGTATTTAAAGTAGCTAAAAATACAAATTCATGATCAGAGGCAGTATATCTGTAGGTCCATTTTTGTGTATGTATGTATATATATATATATATATATATATATATATATATATATATATATATATATATACACATATATTATACATATACATACACACACTTGAAGAAGAAAAATTAAGGTCAGCATAGGGATGGCAAGTAAATGGAAAGCAATGTAACTAGCCTGATATAAATTGTGCTCTGAATTGGTTAGATAATGGGATCATTTCCCTGTACAAAAACATGTGTCCTTTCAAGGTGACCTGATTGAATTTCCCACATGTGTTCAGTTAACATGGTACAGTTAGGAATGGTGTGCATGTCATCTCACTAAATTTTAGTGTATTGTTTGGTTATACTTTTTTTAGAAGTACATTTATATGGTTATATGGACTGACAATAAATAATTAACGGAAAATAATGAATTAAGTTTTGAAGCCAAGAGTACTAGGTGGCAGAGTTGCTTGCACAGTTTAATAGTTACATGCTCTCCAGGGTGTGGTGAGTGAGGAAGGCTGTGAGGATGGCCTGCGGTCACGATGCAAAGCACTCAGCACATGCCCCTTGTGTCGGGCACACCAGCACTGTGACTGGGTGGAAAAACAGTGCGTTCCAGCACCCAATAGGACTATGACAACAGCTCTTACAAACGGAGCAGCTGGGGAGACTAGTCCCAGCCTTGGCTCAGAGAATACCCTACAAACAGTGCAGATAGACAGAGACATGGCCAGCGGCACAGGGGCCACGTTACTGTCTCACAAGCCCTGTCAGCCTACCTGTGCACAGAGGACATCATGTACAAACTGCACACAGGTAATGAAGTTGACGGTGATGATATTGCACAATATTTCTTGAGAAGGTGCTGATAATGTTTCAATTTTCTTGTGGGACCCATCATTCCTCACTCTCTGTTGTCTATTGTACCTTTTTAGAGTTCGTGTATGTGGTGCTTCAACCAGCAGCGGTGTGTCAAGAATAATTCCTATTTGGTCAGTTTCCCCTACGGCCAGTGTAGAGAATGGACCACGGAATCCAAGAGATGCATGGATGTGGAGCCTGGTAAGTCTACATTGTTATATGTCGTCATTTATTTGTTTATTTTTGTTCTTTAGGTATTATTTTCTTTCAGTGTTTTCTCTTCTCATATCCCTTATTTATTGTCTTTCATGTATTGTTGTCTATTGTAATTTTCTTTTGTGTATAAATCTTTTACTTTGCTCCTTCATTACTCTCCCCTATGTAAATCAAGAGTTGCGGTTGCAGTTTAGCTTGTGTCATTTTTTTGTCATTTATGCCCACACTTGTTCCACTGCAGGAATGAGCCGCTGCAGCATCCACCAGACATGTGAGAAATGCCAAGCAGACGTTGCATGCGGTTGGTGCGACGACGGAAGCGGTACGGGAATTGGCACCTGCATGGAGGGGGGACAGAGATACCCCATCAACCCAGTGACCAAAGCCTCTCAGAGGAAGAAGTGCCCCAGCCCCAACTGGTACTTCACCCAGTGCCCACGTGAGTTTTTCTTGGTGAACTCGGCTGCCCATTTTTGTGGGTATCAAAGTAATTACTTCATTTTCTGCTGAAATGCAGTCTGTTCTTATTTCATTGTTTTTCACTATGTGCTGTGATAGGTTTTTTATGGCCTTTATTGTAATGTAAATGATATGAATAGAAATATAAAATATCTAATTTTTTTTTCTTTCTATTTCTTTTTCTTTTATTAACAATGGTATTCTATGGCTCTTCCTTTTCAGTATGCAATTGTAACGGCCATAGCACCTGTGAGAACCACAGCCAGTGCATAGAGCCATGTGCCAATAATACTGGGGGATCCCATTGCCAGTACTGTGTAGAGAAATTCTTTGGAAAACCAATAAATGGCGGACTGTGCAAACGTGAGTTGATTTTTTTTGTGTGTGTGAAACAAGAGTGGTGCTGTAGAATGTTAGTTTTGCATGTATGCTTGATAGACTAAGTCAGAAGAGTCTTTTTTTTTTTATTATTATTATTATTATTATTATTGTGTATATTTATATATTTTTATCCTTTCAGATTTCTGTATCGTATTCCTTTAGGATGATACTCGTATATAGTTATTGATAATTATCTTTTATATTCCCCCTTTTCTTTCTTACCAGCTTGTATGTGCAATGAGCATGGTGACACATGCAATCGCGAGACTGGACGCTGCAACTGTCATACAAAGGGGGTAACTGGTGATCACTGTGACCGATGTGACTCACAAAACAACTATGTCGGTGAACCTCTGAAAGGATCTTGTTTCTGTGAGTGTATTTGTAATTGGTAAAAGCTGGTATTTTGGTACTGAATTGCGTACATGGAAAAACTTGTAGGCCAAGTGGGAGAGAGATATGAGAGGTGGGGTCATTGGATTAGCTTGCTGCTGCTGCTGTTGTTGCTGTTGTGTTTGTGTGTGTGTGTGTGTGTGTGTGTGTGTGTGTGTGTGTGTGTGTGTGTGTGTGTGTGTCTTGGGGAGTCAACACAAAATTGGCTGTTGCTTTTAAAGTAGATAACTTTTATCTACACATTGGATTGGAAATGTCATGAATAAAAAGTGTCTGAATTTGTCTGTCCATTCTATGGACTGTTTCATTGCAGTAGGGTTTTTTCTTTTCTTTGATCAATTTACAGTTAATGGTTGTCTTCAATAACAACAACAACAAAAAGATTTGCAGATTCTAGAAAGTAGATGATAGACATAATTATTTTTAGATGACTGTTTCTTGGTTTCTTAGATAAAGATAGATAAATACTTCCTGTTTCCTGCACAGATGATCTCCAGATAGACTATCAGTTTACCTTCAACCTCTCCAAACATGAGGATCGTCACATACGCCAGATCAACTTTTTTAACGTGCCAACCAAGAGTGATGTAGATACTGACTTTGATATACAATGTTCAAAGGCAACCAACATCAAGATATCGTCTAAAATGAGTAAGTGATTGCCTGTCTTTGTAGGTTTTCCTTAAGAGACAAAGTGATTCTGTGTATTTGTTTTGCTTTGCTTTATCTGTTTCTTGTATCGTCATTATATTCTCGGCTCACATGTCGGTATTTGTATTTGTATCCTTTTTCCTTTCTTCCTTCCTTCCTTTTCGCTTTTCCTCTTTATACGACGATACGCTTCTGTGGCGAGTTTTATAATCTTTCGTCTCATTGTCACGTAACGTAATCCTCTCCCTTCCGCAGCAAATAGCCACGAAACCTGGATCATACGCAACTACACCGGCAAAAGAATCAAAAGGAGATTCAGCGCCTCGGAGTACACATTCGGGGCGGCAGACAACAACACCACATTTCACGTCTACGTCTACAACTTCACGCCCCCCATTGAGATCATTGTGTCGTTCTCCCAACACCCCAAGCTGGATCTCGTGCAGTTCTTCTCCATATTCTCGCTGTAAGTGGCCGTCGCTTGTTTTACGTGGGTGATGAATAGGGGAAAGGGTGGGGAGGGAGAATAGGAGGAAGGGAAAGAGATAATGAGGGGAGAGGGAGAAAGAGAAGGAGGGAGGGAGGGAGGGAGGGGGTGGGTTAGAGAAAGGGAAGGAAGGAAGGGGATGTGAGGGAGGGAGGGAAAAACATAATAAAATAGAGAGGAGGGGGAAAAGAGGGAAAATAAGAAAAAGCAGAAGTGTAGGGTAGGAAAGGTAAGGGGAAATGAAAGGAAGGAGAGAAGAGAGGAGGAAGGAAAGACCATATATAATATGCTTAATGCCTCAATACATACATTTAAGTTGTCTGTCTACATTTATTTTTGTATTTACAGTTTGCATGTGTGTTTATTCAAGATAAAAATTGCATTTTATTGTCATATTAACACTGGGATATTATCTCTATTATTGTTATATGTTGTTAATGTCAATATTTCTTTCATTGTTTTGTTTATTTGTTCATGTTACTTCACATGTTATAACTGTAACTGAGAAAAGTAATATCAGTTGAATAAAATATATTCCTTGTACTTTCAGATGTTTCCTGATTTTACTGACTTTTGCTGCTATACTTTGGAAGATCAAACAAAAGTATGACATTTATACCAGGAGACAGGTAAAGTAGAGGATAGTTGTTTGCATTTTGTTTGATAGATTTTTTTTTTTTTTTTTTTTTTTTTTTTTTTTTTTTTTATAAAAGGAATACAGGGTCTCATCTGTTTTTCTCCATAGAAAGAAAATTCAGATACAATTTTACTTTTGCGATGAAGATTATAGTTATAGTTACTATAGGTGATTTCTCATGTTTGAGTGTTACTGTAATTTTTTTATGTTTGTATTTTCCTTAACCCAATGCCGCTGGGTATGACGTACGTGCTATGCCCACTGTGAGTACTCGTTTGATTGTTTTTACCATTAGATGGCAATACTTGTACTAAATCACTAATGAGCCAGTTACGAGTATTGCCTGTCTCGCTCGTTTACCCTTTTCTTTGATTCCCGCCATTTCAAATCAGGCACTAGCAGAGCCATCAATGGGTAGACATTACACAAAACTATAGAAGATAGGCACAGCATTTTCCCCATTTTTTGTTCATTTTCCTCGGCAGCATTGGGTTAAGCACTTTCTTTTTATTGGGTATACTTGATGTAACTGGTAAATACCTTGACTTGAATGAAGGATATAGGTATTTAGAGCAGCAGCATCCTTCACCCTATCTCCCAACTGGGAAGGAGAGTGAGCATCCAAGATCTCTTAATTTTTTGCTTTGTTCCATCAGCGTCTCCTGGTGGAGATGGAAGCCATGGCATCGCGTCCCTTCCGCCCCATCCTGCTGGAGCTCTACCCACGAGGCTCTGCTGACACCCCCAACGCCAATGGCATCATCTGCCCCACCCCCACCAACACTGCGCCAACCCCTACCGCCATCACCACCACGACCCTGGCCAACAACTGCAACATTCTAGGCACCAATGGCACTGCCAATGCCATCAGCAGCTCCCTGACCAACGCCACCACCAACTCCTTGTCTAGCCTCAACTCCAACTCCACAAACAAGGGGGCATTCAAGGCCAACAACACAAAGTCCTGCAATAACATAATGAGCAATGCAACGTCACCGGATAGCCTTCCCTCGGACACCTTAGACGGCATGATGACGCTCAAGAAAAGAAAGAAGGTATTTTAGAACTTAAGCAAGGGGCTCTTACATCCAAGAATTTTCAAGAATGGGTCGTATCTTTAGATTGGATCTAGCTTTTTTTTTTCCAATTAATAATAGTTGATAAGACAGATAATAATACTCACTGTATTGATGCTAATGTGTGAAAATTTACCCCAGCAGATCAACCCAAGCCCTATATCCCTGGAGCCTTGCAGTGGGAACCGAGCAGCCGTCCTCTCACTCCTGGTTCAGTTGCCTACCGGTGGGGAACCCTTCACTCCGCCAGGACATCCAGGTAAGGACTGGCTGTGGCACTTGCTTGCTACTAATATTTTTTTATAGGTAGAGAACTCTTGGAACATAAAATATGTCCCTTGGAGTATCTGATGTACTCACTTTATGTACACCAGGTGTTCACTTGATAAGGTGGAATGCATGCTTTATCTTATCCAAATTGTTGACATATTACTGTTTATTCACAGTGTAAAAGAATTGAGTAATATAATTGTTTTTGAAGAAAAAGTGTATTGTGTTTAAGTGACATATTTACATATTATGACAACAGACCGACTTTATTTTCAGGTGGTCTGGCAATCGCAAGCACTCTTGTAACGCTCGGAAACCCGAGGAAATGTAGTTCCGACCCCATAACTCTTACCAAGGGGGACGTCAACAAAAATAAAGCTCTAAGAGGTAAACAACCATATTCCAGCCATTCTCCTGACACCTGTATTTAACATAGGCCTTGCCACCATCCTGTAAGATGTGCAGATGTATCATGTATAATAAGCCATTGTTAACAATAGCCACATCCAAATTTTATAATGTAGTATGTAATAATGATCATAATGATTAGATTTAGTATTAGTTGTCTGATGCCTTGAGCAGACAGAAGCATTCTCTGTTCCTTCTTATGTTGTTGCTTGCAGAAAGCCACATTGACTTAAAACTAAATGATCCACTGAAACAGGTCCTCAGATGCACAGGTGTGTATTTGAAGATTTATAAAATGAGATGAGCATTTTATTCCTTGAAAAAAATTGGCTAAGTTTAACCCTTTTGTTCCTTGATTTTCTTACCCACAGACATTTACCTGTTTTTTCCACCTTAGTTTGAAAGAAAGGAAAATTGATTTCTTGTAGAATCACCAGCTGAAGGAAAAGTATTTTTCTTTACTATCCATGTATTATTCCCTTGAAATTTGAAAGCCTATAAGGATTTTTTATTTATGTATTTATTATTTTTTTCAATTTCAACCATGTCAACTGTTATAATTTCCAGGCCAAGAATGTCACTATTGTCTGCTAAGGCCTTAGATATGTGTTCTAAGACGAGCTTAGAAGTTAAACCTGTTAAGTTAAAACAGTCCAGAAATGGCCAAACGAATTACATAATGCAACTGTACTGGGATGTTGAGCCTGGACAGTCCTGGCCACACAAAGTTCCTACTTCTTTGTGGAATAGTGAGAAGCGTAGCAACTCCACAAGGGCATGGTGGCAGAAATTCCTCTTGACACATGCGTTTTTTCATTGGCTGACGATTGTCCGGGTTAGGAACGAGTGTTGGAGTATCACATACACACGACTCATATTTTTTAATAATGAAGTTTTATTTGTTAGGTATCTCACATGCTCTGATATGTGCAGTTATCAGTGGAGTAATTTTTTTCCCCCTCCTCAGTCTGTCTTTTCCATATTTTTTGTTTTTTATTTAATTTTTTTTTGCTATGAAAGAGTGACCACTTCTCATTTTCATTCATTTTTTTTTTTTTTTTTTTTTTTTTTTCCCTCCCCCCTACCTATCAACCCCTGCCTTCACTCCCTTTCCTACCCCACCCTCCACCCCCTCCCTCCAGCCATCAGACTAACAGAAGACGTTACACGGATTTGATAGCGGCTTCAGAAGGGGGAGTAGAGAGTGGGTATGGTGGTAGGGTGTGTTGGGGTGGGGGCAGGGTAGTAAAACACAAATAAAAACAAAAAACAAACAGGGGAAGGGGGAGAGCACCTAAATGGAATTCTGCGTACCAAGCACTTCTCAGGGAGTGGTTGAGAGTCTAGGCCTGGATGTCGAGGGAGGGAGACGCGGGCGGCGGCGGCTCGAGGGTGGAGCCGGCGGGAGGGAGGAAAGGAGGAATAAGCGATAAGAAGCGATAAAAAGAAATTCAGATTGTCTAGTTCTCAGTCTTCTCTTTTTTTAAGTTCAGTGAGAGTATGTGATAATGTGGAACAAAGTTCTTACATTTTGTTATTATTATTATGATGGTGATAGTGATTATTATCATTATTATTATCTCAGTTATTATGATTATTATTATTATTATTATCATTATTATTATCATTATCATCATCACTATTATTGTAATTATTAGTAATATCATTATCACTTATTTTTACCAAATCATATTAATAATTTGTACTGTAATTATTTTATAATTATTATTTTTATTACTAAATATTAAGAATTGTTGTTTAGTATTGTTATGATTTGTGGAAAAAATATTATATTGTCATCTTCACTATTATCATGATAATTATCATTATTATTATTATAATCACTACTACTGCTATTACTATTACTACTTATACTACTGTTACCACTACAAAGATTACTGCTTCATATTCATTATTGTAATAGTAATGATATGAATGGTAAAGATGATGGCATGGTCATTTTTGGAAATTTTTGATTACCTGAAATGGTGTTCATTTTCCTTACTATTGTTTTTAATGTTTGTTTTGTTAATAAGTTGAAGTGAATTGTAGTTTCAGTGCATAATATGTTAGACTGAAGACCATAGCATTGTTGTCTTGCCTTACACAGTTTTCATGAAATCAGAATTAGACAAAAAAAGCGAATGTCTTGTCTTTGCAGTCTCGCTAAGAAGCATAAGGTTTAACATTTTATCGTGGTATTGGATCCTATATTGCATCTTAAAGAGTTAGTGATGTATTTCACTCTTTTGATCTTCAGATGATAAAGGAAGAGAAAAATTCCACTTTTCTTTCTTGCACTACCAATAACTTCTTAGTGTAGGAGGTAGCATGTTAGGGCAATTGGTATGTAAAATAGGACAGAATATTTATATTTTTCAGAGATGCAATACTTGTACTTTAGGGATATGTAAAGAAATGGCTCGAAGATCAAAATTCTTGTGAACGTCTGTAAACTGTGAAGTGTGTTTTATGTACGAAATGGGCATGCTTGTATTCTAGACACTTGTCTGGGATATTACTTGTAGAATGTTAGTAACATGATAAAATTGGAGAATGTGGTGTTCAATTTTAATTTTCCATACATGTAAACATCTAGGCAATGTTCTCTCCTGTGGGTACTCTTATGGGCAGATCGTTGCATATAGAATAGCAGTTTGAACCCGAAAACTGTGATGGTTGTCATTCTATGTGCATGTGGCATTGTCATTTGTATGGTGAAGGGTATTATGAGATTGTTCATTATACTTGCACTGTATGTCATTTCTCTTTTCCTTCTGTTTCTGGTCTTCTCTCTCATTTTTATCCTGTAGTGTGTTTTGTAAAACATTGCAATTTCGTGTTCAGTGGTCGTCATGGATGCCTGTGTTACAAGTTATATTATCATGATAATTATCATTATTATTATTATAATCACTACTACTGCTATTACTATTACTACTTATACTACTGTTACCACTACAAAGATTACTGCTTCATATTCATTATTGTAATAGTAATGATATGAATGGTAAAGATGATGGCATGGTCATTTTTGGAAATTTTTGATTACCTGAAATGGTGTTCATTTTCCTTACTATTGTTTTTAATGTTTGTTTTGTTAATAAGTTGAAGTGAATTGTAGTTTCAGTGCATAATATGTTAGACTGAAGACCATAGCATTGTTGTCTTGCCTTACACAGTTTTCATGAAATCAGAATTAGACAAAAAAAGCGAATGTCTTGTCTTTGCAGTCTCGCTAAGAAGCATAAGGTTTAACATTTTATCGTGGTATTGGATCCTATATTGCATCTTAAAGAGTTAGTGATGTATTTCACTCTTTTGATCTTCAGATGATAAAGGAAGAGAAAAATTCCACTTTTCTTTCTTGCACTACCAATAACTTCTTAGTGTAGGAGGTAGCATGTTAGGGCAATTGGTATGTAAAATAGGACAGAATATTTATATTTTTCAGAGATGCAATACTTGTACTTTAGGGATATGTAAAGAAATGGCTCGAAGATCAAAATTCTTGTGAACGTCTGTAAACTGTGAAGTGTGTTTTATGTACGAAATGGGCATGCTTGTATTCTAGACACTTGTCTGGGATATTACTTGTAGAATGTTAGTAACATGATAAAATTGGAGAATGTGGTGTTCAATTTTAATTTTCCATACATGTAAACATCTAGGCAATGTTCTCTCCTGTGGGTACTCTTATGGGCAGATCGTTGCATATAGAATAGCAGTTTGAACCCGAAAACTGTGATGGTTGTCATTCTATGTGCATGTGGCATTGTCATTTGTATGGTGAAGGGTATTATGAGATTGTTCATTATACTTGCACTGTATGTCATTTCTCTTTTCCTTCTGTTTCTGGTCTTCTCTCTCATTTTTATCCTGTAGTGTGTTTTGTAAAACATTGCAATTTCGTGTTCAGTGGTCGTCATGGATGCCTGTGTTACAAGGCAGTGTTTTTATCACAGCAAATTTTTATATTATATTTTCTTAGGCCTTTAATATTGCTGCCTTGGTAGGTATGGATTCATTTCATATGGCTCAAATACTTTGTTGTTATGGTTTTGGAACTTATGGATGTACATATTGAACAATAATTTTAAGACTTCAGATCATGATGTAATATATATATATATAAATATATTATTTATTTAGCCTGTATTATAAGGCAGAGCAGACCAAGTTGTGTATGGACTGTTTCATTGAATCTCAGCCATGTGATAATTCTGTATTCTAAGTCTGAATGATTTGCTCTTGGCTGTACGAAGGGCTTCAGCAGAAGGATATCAGCACCACAAAAGTGATCTGATCGCTTTTTTTGTGATGGCAGTAAGGTGTTTAACTTTTCTGGAACTGGAATGTTTTATATTGAAGTGAAGGTTATAATATAAACCATGGTTCGTGTATGAGTGATGGAATTTTATACCCCTTTTTACTAGTTGATGTATGCCATGTAGCATACAAGATTTACTGTTTTGCTTGGGAGGAAGTATCACATTACTTGTTACACAGGGATTGATTGATGTAAAAAAAAAAAAAAAAAAGTCACAAAATTCATTTTTTAATTTTATCGTTCTAAGGGATTCTTAGGGCAAAGAAAACTTGTTACATTAGCTTTACCAGGTACTTTGAAAAGGGAACATTGTTACCACATGTATTCAGGAAAAACAGGGAATCTTGAAATTATCATGGACTTCTTAGAGGATTATAGGCATTTTTATCCAAATACATTTCACAATGCAAGTTACATGTTGCTTTCACATAAGGCTCTATGCACACAAAGGGATTTGGTGTGTACTGTGCTGTGTGTTGTTTTGCAGCAATACAAAGTGGCGTGGCTATTGGTGTGGTTTCAGAATGTTGGGGTTCAAAAGATCATAAGTATGATACCTTTATTATTTGATGAAAAATAAATAAATAAAAAAACATGCACATGTACACACACACACTCACTCACTCACACTCACTCACACTCACTCTCACTCACTCACTCTCTCACTCTCTCACTCTCTCACACTCACTCTCTCTCTCTCTCTCTCTCTCTCTCTCTCTCTCTCTCTCTCTCTCTCTCTCTCTCTCTCTCTCTCTCTCTCTCTCTCTCTCTCAACCCCCCCCTTGACACAGAACTCCAAAGGTACCAAAACCACACCAAGTGCAGATCTAAGACAGCACACATCAAACCCCTCGTGTGTATAGGGCTCAAGGGGAAGTCAGAATTTTAAAAAAATGTTTCAAGCATATAAGTAGATATGACTGAAAAATAGGTGATGAGGATACTTGGTAAAAATACACCGAACAAGCAGTATTGCCGCATTCAGTATAGGATGTTTGTACTGGGGCATATGGTGTTCTAGCTTGATACTAAACTGTGTACAGATATTTAGTATCAAATAAGTATTAATTTCATCATTACTTTTTTTTTTTCTTTTTTTTTTTTTCTTTCTTTCTTTCTTTCTCGTGGTTTGATGATTATGACATACACAGTATTATAGTGTATGAATAAATGGAGAGTATTGTGGTTATATTTATTATTGGATATTGATTATTATAACTTTCTTTTTTTTCCATTGATAGTTTGAGTTGTAGAATTAATAATGAATAAAATGAAGTATTATGAGATTGATGTAAAATTATCATTATCGTTGTGATCATTATTATTCCATGATTTTGGATTTGTTTCTATTACTTTCTCATCATTTTTTTCATACATTGTTAATTGTTGTTATCATGATCAACCTGGGCTTGCCACTCGTAGAACCATTCTGTTTGAGTTTCCCTGTATACACCTTACACTTCGTATCCATAGTGTTAATCCCTTGTTTTTATTATATTTGTACGTCCGAGGGTACAATGAACGAGTGAATGGAATGAACAATTTTTAACTTGATTTTTTGCTTTCTCATTGCGACGTGAAGGGAGATTTTCGTATCGACTTTGGTAAGGAGAGAAGCTGTCTTGATTTTATTCCCTTCTTCTTCTTCTTTCTTTTCTATTTCATTTCTTTAGTAACTTTCATCATCCACCCCTACCCCACCACCCCTATTTTTTCCTTTTTATTTATATATATATTTGTTATTGAATTCCTTATTTGTGCCACAAAGTGACAATCGAGGAAGGAATTAGTTGTCAAAAGGGCCAAAGATTGTTGTCACAAATAAACATACCTTTTTTTTTTTCTTCTTCTTCTTCTTCGTTTTTCTCTTTTTTTCTTTTCTTTTCTTGTGAAAGGCTTAGAGTGGGTTTGTATTTTGTTCTTTATATGTAGTTTCTGAGTGTATTTGTGTATACATATGATTGTTTGCTATTTTTTTATTATTATTATTATTATCATCATTATTGCTTATTTTTATATATTTATTTCATTGGGCATGTTACTTGAGAAATGAAAAATCAAATATCGAAAATGGTACAAGAATTTTTTAATAAGTGGTTTCATGGGGAGCCTTTGCTTTTTCTCAAATATTCTGTGAAACAAAAACAAAGGAAGGGAAGAGTGACAAAAACTGATGTGCCTGTGTGTGTATCCATTCATGTAAATGTGTGTGTGTGTGTGTGTGTTTTTGTTTGTGTGTGTGTATGTGGGTTTATGTAGGAAATTAATATAGAAAAGGAGAGAGTGTAGTGTAGTGTGTGAGTGAGATTTACAGGTTGTGTTTATTTGTTTGTTTGTTTGTTTGTTGTGTTTGGAACTTTTTCCCTTCCTATTTCCTCAGTATTTTTACCCTTGTGTAGCAATGTGAGTTTTATATTGGTGATTACAGAAAGTGCAACAGAAAAAAATTGCATGGGCATGTTTTATCATTAACATTATTATGAATATTTGAATTATTATTATTATTATTATAAAAATTGTATGTTTATTTGTAGAGTTGCAAAATAATGCCTGTTTCATTTGTATGTGACTACCTACTGTATTAGAAGAATATTAAGATTTGACAATATCAGGCTTTACTGTATATAATTGTGAATCTCATTTTAAGTCATATTAACACTTCATGCTTAATGTTGAAAGGAGAAAAGAACTGCATATTGTTTAGAGATTGTTTTCTGAAGAACAAATAAATTTTGATATGCATAGCTCAGCAATAATCCATTAGTTGTAGGTCTGTTTTTTTATTCTTAGGGATTTGATCTTTAAAAAAATCACTGAAACACTCCGGTACGTACGTACACTTATTGGAGGAAAACTTCTACCTCTAAAATAGATTTTTCTTTCTTTTCAAAGTAACATTTTTGCACTCAATACATTTTATAGATACAGAATACACAGACAATTTCAGGACTTAGTGTTTTCTTTAATGTTTTGTTGAGAATTTTCAACTCCTGTAAAGTTGAGTTATGGCAACAGAGTTTGGAACTACATTGGTTTGGAATTCCTCACAGATGATTATGTCTTAGGTTCCCCAGATATATATATTCAGTTGCTCTCTGAATTGTCATTGTTAGGCAAAAAAATAAATAAATAATAACCCTATAAATATCAAATGTCAAAAAATTATGTTGTGGCTTATAGTGTTCCAACACATATCATGCAGTCATAGCCTGAAAGAGTCAGATCCCCACCTTTGTGCCAGATATATTTTTTGCTGTACACCATTGGAAAAGAAAATTGGGAAGTTACATTGGTGATTAGTTGGGTCAATATACATACTGGTATATGTATCACAGTCATGCAATCGTTTCAGTCTTGTGCCCTGCCTAGAACAAATGAATAATGTATAATGTCCCTACTGTAAGAAGTTAATTCTTCTCTAACTATCCTTAAGCACTGAAAGAAAGTGCTAAATGTACCAAAGATTACGTATGTAAAGTGACATGTAGTTGACATGCAGTGCATTTCACATGAAAGAAATCATTGCTGGTTTATTAATGGGGATTATAGTCACTTTAGGGAGGGCAGGGTGTGGCTGGGTCTAAGGAGGCCATTTTTATGATGCAATACATTTTAAGGGTCCATTTTTTATTGGAAGAGGATTTTCATATTTTTTAGAAATAAATATTGTTCCATAATTGTCTAGTCTTCAGTTGCAATTGATTCCATCAGAACATCCTTACAGGCTTACCCTACAGTGTGACTTTTGTCTTCCTGTCTTTGTATACTGCTTTGAGGGTATGTCTCCGGTGTAGCTGAAAAGGGTAGTTACTCTAGTTACAAACATTTCTTTTTGTTTTATTATTATTAGTTTTATTTATTTACATTTTATTCTTTCTTTTTTTTTGGTTGTTCTTTGGGTGTGTTACATAGATCAAGTTAAACACTGTAATTTCATTCATAATTTAAGATTGTAATAGTTGGGTATACCAGGTAGAAGGGGTCCGTATGAAGTTAGTAATACATTATGTATAGTTATTTGTTTTGCTGCAGTCAGTATCATGTTACAGTCTCACTAATTCTAAGTGTAATATCAAATTCCTTAAGAGAAAATGTTCAGGAATGTATCCAGTTATTTTATCCAATCTGAATATAATCTGGAATAGTAGTATGACATACTTTAAATAAATAAAAAATGTATACTACTGTGGTATTGTTAGTTTATACAAATCTAAACATTTTCTCTTTTGTCCATTGTAAATATCTCTTACAAAGAGCCTCTAGGGGCATATGTTCCATTCTTGTGTAATTACCTAAAGAATTTCATTCCAAGGCCAGGCTTATTTCACAGCCGTGACTGGCAAGGCAATTCAAAAGGTATTGAACAAAGCTTAACACAACCATCAACAAGTTCATGATTCTATGGATTTCATTCTAGTGTTTTAGATTTTGTTGTGGCTGTGAGACAAGACCCAAGATGCACTACTGTCTATGGTTACTGCAGCAGCTTTTATTGTTTGTTGATAATAAAATAATCATATTCCTTCACTCTGCTGTAAAACAATTTTGCTAATAAAATGCCATGTTATCAATTGACTTTTATTGATTCCACTTGGATATAAAAAAACACACAATATTAGATTGTGTTTCAAAGAAATCAAGAGAAAAACAACGAAGGGAAAAAATGTACATTTTACATGTTTATATGAATATCTGGTTTACACAAAAGGAAGATAAAAAAGTATGAAATGATATTTAAAATCCTTAATGCAACCCTTAGGGTGCTATGTCAAATACACAAGAGCATTGTAAAGTTACCACAAAAGACAAGTATCTTAACAATTACATGATATATGGCCAAAAAATGTTTGAAAAAGAAAAATGGATTTCCAGAAATACAAATCCAAGTCAAAATGGAATTCCACTTGATTTTGTACATTTAGACATCATGGGTAACAAGTATGACATCAGCAGAAGGTAACTTTAGTTTGATAAAATAGCTCTAAAGCACATGTCTCCTAACTCCTAAAATGATCATGGGTAATGCAACAATGACCATGGGGAAAATGCTGAGCAATATTTTGCAGGAGAAGATAAAAGACAGTAACACAACCATGTACTACTACAACCTACTCGACATGAGAATGGAGGGAAGAATGCTAGAACCTACTTGCATCCAAATTGGAAACCCTGTTGATTATCTTACACCTGTTCACAAGGTACTCATTCAAGAGCTGTTTAGGGATGAATCACTTATTCATCCCTTCAAATATTACAAAGGTGTATATTTTTTTGAGCATATCTTACTATCAAAGTCAACTAATAAGAAAAAAGATAACTAAAATTTTACAACAATTAAGGATATACACAGTAAATGAACCACTAACTTGCAATAAAATAAAGGTGTCTTATTCAAATTTAGAGACAACCATACTGTACTATCTGCCATACACAATGTGGATATTGGAAGGGGGGCAGGATGGGACTTACTGTAGTTTTCTACAACCACAAGTTCTAAGAAATATTCCTGGAAACTGTCTTCAGTTCATGCTACAGTAAAAATCTGCAGTAGCAAAGTTTGTATTGGCATGTTCATTAACAGTGTGAGTAAATCGATCTTAGAACCTTAAAGAACAATGTATAGCAACTAGCATTGTTGGGTATGGATGGAAACAGCAAAAGTTACATTTAAAAAGTACGGTTTCACTATATTGTAAACAAATAATTAAAATAAAATTAATATGTATTCTAAGAGACAAAAAAAAAAATAATAATAAATAAATCCTATTTCTGTGCACATTAAGCTCTGAATTATCCCATCCTTCTGGGACTAATACACCCACAGACACCTCAAACATGAAAACTTTATTTACTTGAAATGTTTCCTAAGGCACAAAAGTTGGCATCTAGAACAAGGATATGCCACAGCATCACAAAGTTTCATCTGTTGACTAGAAATGAGATTCAAAGGTATGCAAGATCACTCTCTCGGACTGACTAGTATATACGACTAAAGGAAAAATATGGTGCAAATTTAATTCCTCTAAAAGCACCTATTCAAGCATGAATTGCACATTCGCTTCTCCAGGAATTCTCAGGAAAATTATAACATAGAATATTTCCCTAGAGCATATCTATGGTATTGACAGAACCACTCTGAAAGTCTCCATAATTACCTGTCATTTATAAACCTGAACTGTCTTTCTTCAAATGAACACCATTTTTAACAGCGATATTTATGTATAATACAGTGCTATAAGATATTTATATTCGTGATCTTTAATAAAAATACATGACCTAGCTGACGGTCTAACCCCTGTTTACTCCTAAAAGCATCTCCTTACATACTCAGTACTGATATTATATAAGACTTCAACATTTAAAACAAACAAGAATGGTGAAATAAGAAAATATGAAGGCTTCTTAGACTAAGTGTCCAATAATGCATTTATTAACTGTTTTGTATTTAAGTCTTATACTAATACACTACAATCATGTGTATGTAGTGCACTAATGTATACATATCAATGCTTTTAACACTGATTTAACTTTGAAAAATGCATTTTGGGGCATTTGGTCTGAGAATATGCATCCCATCATATTGTTTTGACATAAAATATTACAGCTTAACCTTCAGTCATATTCAATATATATTTAACTGAACTTTACTGGACACCTAAAACAAATATGCTATTACAATATTATGAAGATTAAATACTATTGTGCATTAGCCATCATTTCTAGAACCCACTGATATTACACAGCAGAGAATCATAATGATTAATTAAAAGTAATAGAAAAGTACTGCACCACTTACTCTTCAGCCAAAAAGAATAAAATAACACTTAAAAACAACAAATAAACCACACATATGCAAATAAACACATTATGAGCACCCACAATATCAACATGAACATGCTCATATACACATGCACACAGACACATATGCACATGCAAGCACTTGAACTCACACTCAACCCCACCTCCCAACAGACACTCTCAGACTTTAAGATTAACGGTGCTCCTAGTTATGTTGCAAAACAATGAAGCAATCCTCTATTTAAAACAACCACGACAGACAAGATTGTGCAAAATGCCAAAACCCATACAACAACTGATCATCATATTTAAAGAAAATTATGCCTTGTACATTCGCATAGAATAATGAGGCTTGGGCAGGACTTGGTTTTGTATCATAAAGTACCATTGGTAACATTACATCTTTCCCATGCCTATTTCATGAAATACACAGAGCTATACAAGACACTCACTCCCATTGTGAAAGAAGACAATATACAAAGTATTTAAGCCTTGAAAAGAGAAAATAAGATAGGGATAGAGGGAGAGAGGAAAGGGAGGGGGAAAGGAGAAACTGGAGTGGGTTAGGAAGTGGGGAAGGGGCAGGAGACAAGATGGGAGGGAGGGAAGAGCAGGAAGGAAGAAGTGGAGGCAGGATAAAAAATATATATATAAGGATAGTGGTGATTGTATAAAGTATACTGAGTGCTTGCAAAAGAAAAAAAAAATAATAATAAAGGACTTGCACATATATGAATTGCCTTTTGTTTGGGGAAAATGCATTTACATTTTGTATAAAGTATAATGAGTGCTTGCAAATGAAAAAAAATAAAAATAAATAATAATAAAGGACTTGCACATATATGAATTGTCTTTTGTTTGGGAAAAATGCATTTACAGACCAACACAAAATGAGCTGATCACATATGATATAAAAGTATCAAAGATATATAATGCAAGACAAGACTTAAAAACTAATATGTGGAATTATGTGCGATGAGTCAAATTTTTCCTTCCTCCTTTTCTCCAAAACACACAAAATTATTCTGGCCAATAAAATAAGATTTGAGCTTTTTTTCATGCATGCAATTCAAACTATCATCCTAATTCTTACTTATCACTTTTCACTTACATTCTGAACTACATCACTTCAACACTGAAAGGGAGATGACACACTTTCCATTCTTCTTCTCTTTCTGTAACATTATATTCAATCATTTCTAAATTTACTCTTAATTATGCAGTTTAAACAATTTTAGAAACTGGCTTACATTACAGATTTCACTTCTCAATAATAACAGATCATTCCACAAATTCCTATATTATGTTATTATGACTGGTTTTTCTTCATTAGATGTTTGTGCATATTCTTATAGTAGTCATCACTGAGGTCTCGACTAGACCTACGGCTTGAGCATAAACTCCCTGGAGCACTGAGTCGAACAGAACTTGGATTTTTCTTTGAATGCTTCCTCATGAAGGTAGGTTCTTCGTACATTGGGCTGTTATCCAAGCACGAATTCAAGGCTATTTCTTCCCCTTGCTGCTGTCCAATCTGTGCCATGAGATTCATGAGGTCCTTTTCTAAAAGTGTGAGCCCCTTGCCATCAACTGGTTCCTCATCCTCTTCAGTTTCATATCTATCCTTCTCAGCCTGAATGTGATTTTCTTGCGGATACCTCTGCCCAGGTATTTTCAGAGTCTTGGGATTCTCACGGTAATATGCGGGTAAGTAATTCAACCCTTCTCTGTCTACTGTAATGGGCGGATAAATGACTTCCCTGCCGTCTGTTCTCAGGGAACGTAAAAGGGCTTCTCCCTGGACCCTGGCTGGAAGGGAGGTGAACTCGCCCCTCTTTCTGACATGATCGTCGTCCTTGGCCAATTCCAAACGACCCTGACTCTGACTCCGGTATCTGGGAGAAGCTGTGCCTGAGAGGGGTTTCCGCTTCATCCTCTCCAGGGTGCGTGGCCGTGGGTGGGGAGGCCTGGTACTGGGGCTGGGCGACTTGCCCTCAAATTCATCAGGAAAGCGTGGGACGGATGAGGCTCTGCTTGCTGGGGCAGACTTCATGCGGTAGACAGCTTTGTGTCCACCATAGCCTGGCCTTTCATTGCTGTTTGTGAATACATACTGTATTTAGATACTGACATTAACCTTGATTTCATATAAATATATATGCAATACAGGTAACCATGTTATCTGAATGTGGATCTCTTTATTAATGTCAAAACCTACTGCCTCACATGCAGTCTGACAGAAATGGTCTAAAGACTGGGTAAATATCTGTTGACAATTAATAGTTCAGATTTATGTTTGGGCAAAGTGTGTGTGTGTGTGTTGTGTGTGTGTGTGTGTTGTGTATGTGTGTGTGTGTTGTGTGTGTGTGTGTGCTGTGTGTGTGTTGTGTGTGTGTTGTGTGTGTGTGTGTTGTGTGTGTGTGTGTTGTGTGTGTGTGTGTGTGTGTGTGTGTGTGTGTGTGTGTGTGTGTGTGTGTGTGTGTGTGTGTGTGTGTGTGTGTGTGTGTGTGTGTGTGTGTGTGTGTGTGTGTGTGTTGTGTGTGTGTGTGTGTGTGTGTGTGTGTGTGTGTGTGTGTGTGTGTGTGTGTGTGTGTGTGTGTGTGTGTGTGTGTGTGTGTGTGTGTGTGTGTGTGTGTGTGTGTGTGTGTGTGTTGTGTGTGTGTGTGTGTGTGTGTGTGTGTGTGTGTGTGTGTGTGTGTGTGTGTGTGTGTGTGTGTGTGTGTGTGTGTGTGTGTGTGTGTGTGTGTGTGTGTGTGTGTGTGTGTGTGTGTGTGTGTGTGTGTGTGTGTGTGTGTGTGTGTGTGTGTGTGTTGTGTGTGTGTGTGTGTGTGTGTGTGTGTGTGTGTGTGTGTGTGTGTGTGTGTGTGTGTGTGTGTGTGTGTGTGTGTGTGTGTGTGTGTGTGTGTGTGTGTGTGTGTGTGTGTGTGTGTGTGTGTGTGTGTGTGTGTGTGTGTGTGTGTGTGTGTGTGTGTGTGTGTGTGTGTGTGTGTTGTGTGTTGTGTGTTGTGTGTGTGTGTGTTGTTGTTGTGTGTGTTGTGTGGTGTTGTGTGTTGTGTGTGTTGTGGTGTGTGTGTGTGTGTGTGTGTGTGTGTGTGTGTGTGTGTGTGTGTGTGTGTGTGTAGTGTGTGTTGTGTGTGTGGTGTGTGTGTGTGTGTGTGTGTGTGTGTGTGTGTGTGTGTGGTGTTGTGTGTGTGTGTGTGTGTGTGTGGTGTGTGTGTGTGTGTGTGTGTGTGTGTGTGTGTGTTGTGTGGGTGTGTGTGTTGTGTGTGTGTGTGTGTGTGCTGTGTGTGTGTGTGTGTGTGGTTGTGTGTGTGTGTGTGTATGTGTGTGTGTGTGTGTGTGTGTGTGTGTGTGTGATGTGTGTGTGTGTGTGTGTGTGTGTGTGGTGTGTGTGTGTGTCGTGTGTGTGTGTGTTGTGTGTGTGGTGTGTTGTGTGTGTCTGTGTGTGTGTGTGTGTGTCTGTGTGTGGTGTGTGTGTCTGTGTGTTGTGTGTGTCTGTGTGTTGTGTGTGTGTGTGTGTGTGTGTGTGTGTGTGTGTGTGTGTGTGTGTGTGTGTTGTGTGTGTCTGTGTGTCTGTGTGTTGTGTGTGTCTGTGTGTTGTGTGTGTCTGTGTGTGTGTGTGTGTGTGTGTGTGTGTGTGTGTGTGTGTGTGTGTGTGTGTGTGTGTGTGTGTGTGTGTGTGTGTGTGTGTGTGTGTGTGTGTGTGTGTGCATTGTGTGTGCATTGTGTGTTCATTGTGTGTGTGTGTGTGTGTGTGTGTGTGTGTGTGTGTGTGTGTGTGTGTGTGTGTGTGTGTGTGTGTGTGTGTGTGTGTGTGTGTGTGTGTGTTGTGTGTGTGTGTGT